TCTGTGATATAAAGTTTGATAAGTTATGTAGAGAAATCTTAGCCTTGATTTTAAGACATCTGTAACAATGCATGCTTTAAGAAAGAAAAGTAAAGAATTGGAGGATAAGAACATTTTAAAGGAGGCAATGTACAAAAAATTTAAATGCTTTCTTATTTTCAGAATCATTTTTGTTTTGCCTTGAAAGATCAAAAGCAGAATGCAGCCTATGTTAGACACCGAATATTCACTGTTTTGAAATTCCTCCAGCTCTACACCATTAAAAAAATTAACATACCGAAAGACTAGTTTAAGGTGATAAACTTTTATCAATTGATCTTAAAATACATAATTACAAGCATATTTTCAATTCTTAGATGTGAGTGCTAAAGCTGTATTTCTAGTACTACTGAATTCTGTTCTATATTTCCATGTATAAAAGATCTCACAGTCCTGGGAAAACACTTTTTTAAAAAATGAAATACAACAAATAAGGTATGCTGCCGAGTCCTGGGGGAGAAGTTTCCCAGAGTCTTTGAATTTCCTCCTATCCTCCTTCTTTACAAGATTTCTAAGACCAAGTCCTTTTCTGCAGTCTCTCAAACAAGGTAAAAAAGAAAAATACCCCCTAGATATATTCCTTAGATTTTCTATTATGCTTCTCAAGTTCCCAGTAGCTTCTGAAGTAAACCTAAGATGAATTCTGCAGGGTTTTTTTTTATTATTATGTTTTAATTTTAGTTCTTTTTTAGGTCTAAGATGAAATAGATGATCATAACTGCTGTGCTTGGAGATCCATTTTGTGGCACAATTTGTACATGACCTGTGCAAGGTCACGTCACAGAAAGGAGACTGACATGGAAAAAGGCTGAATCCAGCTTTTTAAACTCAAAGAACTTTACTGTAACTTATTTAAGCTTACAATATTTAGCAAAATACAGCAAGAGAAATTTCTTTTTAAACAGTATATGTATTTAATACCATATATTTCTTTCTTACTTTTTTTTTTTTTGTCAGTCGTGGGGCTTGAACTCTGGGCCTGGGTGCTGTCCCTCAGCTCCTCAGCTCAGGGTGAGCACTTTATCACTTGAGCCACAGTACCACTTCCGGTTTTTTGGTAGTTTATTGGAGATAAGAGTCTCACAGACTTTCCTGCCCAGGCTGGCTTTGAACCGTGATACTCAGATCTCAGCCTCCTGATTAGCTAGGATTACAGGCATGAGCCTCTGGCACCCAGCTATATTTCTTTATTTCATTATGGCTTTGATATATCAGTTGCTGTTCAATCATTCATTAAGGATAATATTTTGTCATGTCATGAGCCTCAGGGCAGATGACAGCAAGCCACACTAATCATCATCTATACCAGCTGGCTCTGGGTTCAGGGGTGCCATATCTTGTAATACCTCTAGGCTTTGCTCATGCTATATTTGCTGTCAGTTGAATACATGTTGGCAAAAATACATTTGCCCTTCACTTAAAAACATTAACACCCCTGAATTACTTCCTCAATACCCTTCTATGTGCACTTATAGCACTTTGTACCAGTTCCTATTAGTTTGATAAGATCTATTGTAATTGTTTATTGCCTCTATCATTAGAATATGAGGGCTTGTCCATTATGTTTTCCTGGATTTAAGACCTTCTCTGAGCCAGGATTTGTTCCAAGCACTTAAAATCTGCATCACAACTTTTCATGGTAGATATTATTGTTACCTCTATTTTTTTAACCTCTATTTTACCAATGAGGAACCTAAGACACAGAGAAGTTATTTTCTCAAAGACACCTAGCTAATAAGTGCCAGTCATTGAATTCACACAGTGTGACCTCAGAGTTCAGATGTTAAAAAGAGAGGTTTAGGCTTCTCTAATTTGTCCAATCTAATTTGTCCATTTTTTCTGACGCTTAAATTGAGAAGTATATATTTTTGTCTTAAATTGATTTTACATATACCTTTGTAAAGATGTGTTTATTTGTACAGAAAAAAATTCAGTCTAGGAAGAGCACTTTGCTAGTGCTGCCAGGTCAACACCTTAAACTTCCCCCAGGTTCCACATCTTTAGATAGCTACAAAATCTCACATTGTAATTGTTCTTAGAGATACTCCTCTGCATATAGAGTGACATGAAAATACTTTGGAATATAAATTGTTATTAGTAGGAACAATATGTAGGTTATTCTTGGTAAACTGATGACACTAGGCAATTTTACTTTTGCAATTATTTAAAAAGAAGGTTTTTGTTTCTTTTTTTTAAGAAATGAGACACTCAAATCATTACAAATGAGATATATTTATTTTCCCTCCTTATATTTAACTTCACATCCCAAGTTCCTTTAGGCTCAATGTCACTTATTTTATCTTTCAAATAACTGATTAATTATTTCATTTATGTATATTCTTAATTTTTCTCTTGATAGTAATTCTTGCTCATTATAGAGTTGAAAATTTCAAAGCCATTTTAATTAACCATATATTATAGATCTCTTCTACCTTAAAAAAATCTCTTTCAAAACATTATTTTTAATGGCTATATAATATTTTATTACAATAAGATGCAGCATAATTTAACTACATGGTCCTAGTTTTAACCATTCCAGTAGATACCAACTATTTACTACTTTAAATAACATTCTAAAGTCATTCATTCATGTGGTGTCTGTAATTGTGCAGTAAAAAGAAGCTTCTTAGAGCCTATTTTAGTGGTTGTGGGAAGCCTATAGGAATACAGGTTCTGAAATTCCTCCCAGAAGGTTCTGATATGATCTGAAGAATTGACTTGTCTCCTCACCCCTGGCTTAAGCAATTTGCTTCATTCTATCCCAATACCCCCCTACCAAAAAATACTTTAAAGTATCTATTTTACACTGTCCCTATTGATATAATTGCTTATTTTCAGCATAGAGATTGGACCATCTCTGGAATTGCACTTTGGGTATATCCTTCACCTACCTCACTCCACCCACATATGGCTAACACTACATCCCAGGAAAAGGTTTCCATCCTACATATCAGTATCACTAACCACCTACTCCAAGACAATACCCACCCAGCTTCCCATGCATACTTGTCCCTCCTAGCCTCAAAGAAGCCCTCCAAGATGCCCTTATTGAAATCATCTCTGCCAGCCCAGTCTCCTAACAACCCCCTCTTTATTTTTCATAGCATAACATAGTCTGGGGAGGCATGGATTATTAAAATCTGTCTCCTTTATTTTACCACAAACTCCATGGAAACAGACCTCCAGTCTAACTGTTTACCTCTAAATGTTTGGCACGATACTTAGCCCATAGCAATGACCAGTGAGGGAGCAGTGGTTAACAAATATGGGCTCTGGAACTGAGGGATACAAAGGCAGTTCTGAGCTGTGTGCCCTTAGGCCAGCTGTTTAACCTTTCCGTGACACCATTCACTTCATTAAGATTATAATATAACTATTTTATGTTTGTTGTAGGTAAATGAGCAAATGGAGAAGGTGCAATACAGAAGTACTGTAGAATACCATCTGCCAAGTAGAATGTATCTAATATAACCCTTAAAGGTACTCAATATCTTTTCAATCAAATAAATAAAACACAAGTGAGAACGTAGTTGTGTCTTTTCCCATCATTCTTCCCTCAGTCCCCTTCTAAGTGAAAGCTTCAGTTCAGTAAACTTCTGCCTGTATCAGGCTCCTTAAAATAGCTCATCTGCCCAGAGTGGTCAGATGAACACACTCTCCACACTAAGTTATATTACTTGCGCCTTTGATCCTTTCAACACATTACTTCCCAAAGTATGTACTAATATGGCAAGCACCTCTCCTCCTTCAAGTATGTCTTGAAATGTGACCTCCTCCATGGAGCCCTCTTTAAGTGGAACTGAGCTCATCATCATTCCATCCTTGTTTCCAACAAATAAACTAAAGGTTTTCGTTGTTTGAGGTTTTGAAACCCGAGTTTTTCACTGGTTGTGTGAGACTCAGAATTCCAGGGCTAGTTTGGGGCTCTCTTCTGTCTGCATTGAAGAATTCAGAGTTTCAGAAGTAATATGTTTGTTTATCTTGCTCTGTGTACATTTAGCACAGTGCCAGTTCACACGGATGTGATTTAACTGATTTAATGATGATTTACTTACTTTGTCCATGTCAAGCATAGAGACTATACAGTCTTAAATCTTTTTCCCCTATGTCAAAATTGGTTTCAGTGCTAAGTCTATTATGTGACTGGTTTTCCATGTTTTGTTTCACAAAGGAATAGAGAGAAATTAACAAAAAGTAGAGAAAAATAGGAAATGAATAAAATTTCCACATTGTGAATCCAAATATATCTTAAGAGTAACATATTATATTAAAAGGGACCTCATGTAAAGTTTAGGTGCATATGCTTAACAAGTTATTTTGTAAATCTAAAATGGATACCCAAAACATGTCAATATTCATTTTTAAAATACTTGTTGTATTCGGTGCATGCACCATTATGGAGGACTTACATTCAGAGCAAAAAGATTTGTAGCTAAGCATATGACCTTCTTCCCACTACAATGACCATCCCCTAATTAGGCAATGCATCTGATAGTCATTAACAGGAATGAGATAATGAATCACTTTCTCTCTTCTTTGTTAATTTGCTGTAACCAAGCGGCTAATGGATGTCAGAGCTGAGTGATTGCACTGATTATAGTGATTTATAGTTGCAACAAAACAATTTAAAACCATTCTGATTATTCATGTTAAAGATGCTTTATGTTTTGTTTACTAAATGTTTTATGCCCCCCCTTTTCCCCACCCCTAAAGTACAGTCGCCCTTCTATCCTGCCACTTTGCACAAAAACAAACCTCATCCTGGAAAACTTGAAAGTTTTGTTTTTTTATTTAAAGCCAGTTCGTTTTGTTTATGTCGAGATAGATAGCTAGATAGATGGATGTATAAAGTTTACCCACTAGAAACGAAAAGCCTTAGGGGTGGAAAGAAAACTTCAGTGGTGCCTAGTTCAAAAGAAGACAGAAATAAGAGGAAATAAGGCAAACTTCAAGCTACTTACCTTGGGGCTTCCAGTCCCTTCCTCATCCTCCACAGACACATCAGTAGCCAGTATCTTGGCTTTGATGGTATCCAAGGCTCTGAGAATCCAGCTGTGTTGCCGTTTGATTTGCCTCTGCAGCTCTTTCCATTGACTTGCAATCATCTTCAGCATGTCCTTCAGTCCTTCTCCAAAAGGAAGGAAAAGTACAAGTTGTGGACCTGCCTGCATCTTTAGCCATTATCATTTTTTAGTTTACAACTTAGGTGTTTATTTCAAATAAGATCCATGTTGTTAAAGGACCTTATCATGGACTGCCATATTAGCATTTGTCACGCTGAATAGACTGACAATTCTTGACACAAGACATAAGGACATAAAACAGATATATGTCGATGCCTAGTTTGAACATTGACTTAGACTCAGTGTTGGTAATTGAAAAAGCACAGGTGGACAAATAATGATGTATAAAAAGAATCAACAGTATAGCTTCACATTCTAAATAAATGGTTCTGTGTGTTTCTTATAGAGATTTTACGATAAAAAGTGCATAGAAATAGGGAAAGATCGTTCTAAGAGAAATATGGTAGGTAGATCAGAATTGACACAGCATTCTTTACCATCAATATATCCAATTAATGCTGTTTTTTTTATTTATCTGTAGTAAATTCAATGGGCCATCCTGTGATTCATCTAACAGGTTTTTTTATGGTCAGCATGACTATAACCAAAGAACAAAACTATTCTATATTTATAATCTGTATATGATAAATATGTTAATACTAGACTACAAACTATTTGAAGGCCAAAACTTGGTATGTGGATTCACAGGGAAATAATCAGATACCCCTAGTCTGCTAGCTTTATATCTGTAGTGGTATCTATAAGTATCCTAATGCATATGCATTATAACTATAAGCAAAATTCTCATTCATTATCTTAATGTTCTTTCTAGAGCACTCACATCAAAAATCTTGTCAATATGAAATTTTCAGGAATATGATTTCAATTGAAACTCAGGGGAACAGCAAGCCTAAAATAAAATGAACAGACCATTTGGAGGCAGTATTTCATCTTGTAAGTATCACAGCATTGTATGCAGTATATGAAACATTTATAAATCTTGAAGGTCAATCTGATAATGTAAATATTAATAATACATAAGGAAGTGAATATATGCAGTAATTTACAGCAATGCTTCTTCATTCTTAATAGTCTGGAGACATAAAGACTTGCAATATTTCAGGAGGATTTACCTGCTTTGTGGGATGCAATAAGCTCAAGAAGTTGGTGTCCTTCCTCCTCCACAGCTTCCTTGAGAGCACAATGACTGTCTACATTCAACTTAAAACTCTGTATAGAAAAAAAAACAAGCATCAAACTCTGACAAGTCAGTTGCAAATAAAACACCCATACAAAATTACTTGTTATTTTTTATCAAGAACCACACAACCCAATTTACCTAACAGACATACTAATTTTCAATACTAAAAACTATCAGTATTTGGGGTCTGGGCTCAAAATATTTCTATTAGATTACAGAGTGCATCTGTTTGGAAACAGCTGACAAATCTAGAAATTCATTATGTTTTTATGAAAAGTCACATCCTGTAGGCTATATCAACAATAGCAGTGTCCTATAAAACACACTGAATTTCTACCAGCACATATGAGTTCTTTTTTTCAGGTTTTAAGAATGTTATGATGGAACTATTTGTGAAAACATAAAGAATTTGGCAGCAGAAAATATACTGGCCTTATGCATTCATTCATTCATTCATTCATACATACATACATACATGCATACATACATAAAATCAATTAACACAATAGGGCTTGATTCAGCAGTTTCTCAGATACTACATAAACCATGGAACATACATGTGAACTTAGGTGATACCTTTTCAAGTCTTTACTTTTTAAAACTTTATTCCTTAAGATGTCATGTCTTATAAATAAATCAGGAGCATTTTCTATCATTATCATCAACCAAAAGACAAAAAAAACGGCTATCACAAGTTAAATCTAACTCATAACAATTTATATCAGAAAGCCTTTCATCCCTAATGTCTTCTGTGGTATCAATCATTCCTTTCTTTCTGCTACTCATACTTGTTTCTACTGTAGAATTCATCACTCTATCTGTTTCTTTATTTCTACCAAATTGTCTACCAAATTGTAAGTAATTTGAATAGTTGTCAATATCAAATATATCTCCAATTCATGTCACATACAAGGTGTTCAATAAGGTGTTGCGAACAGTGGATATCTGTTGAACTTGATCAATAACATTCACTAAAGAGAAATATTTGCTTAAGTATTTTAAAAAGCACAGACGGTTTTCAAAAAAAATCCATTTATAGTATGCTATAAGGCATTAGAACCACAGCCAGTCCCTAAAGAGTAATCATATCAATCAGATGAATCACTGGTTAGTTTTCAGACTGAAAATTCACTCCTTGACTCAACTAATTAGAACAGGGTGGTTTTTGAAATATTCTATGCCAAATTTTGGCTTTCTCTGATAGAAAAAATAAACATGTTGGCCTGCAGGCACCAGTGGCTCATGACGATAATCCTAGTTGCTCAAGAGGCTGAGATCTGAGGATTGTAGTCCAAAGCCAGCCCAGGCAGCAAAGTTCATGAGACTTTTTATCTCCAATTCACTACACAAAAAAAAAGAAGAAAAAGCTGGAAATGGAGCTGTGGCTCATGTGATAGAGTGATAGCCATGAGCAAAACAGCTGAGGGACAGTGCCTAGGACAGATATGCACACACACACACACACACACACACACACATGAACACATACTATATGTCTTGCTCTCATTAAATATTTATTTACAAATAGAGTCATACTGTACCATGCTTGTATTGACAATATTTGACAGAAATTTAAAATGATATAATCCAAGTTAGAATACAATTTGGATTAAATAATCATGACTTATAAAATCAGATATTCATTCATTCATCCAGAAAGTATTATGGTTCTGTTCTGTGCCAGGCAATAGAGATTTGGAGGGTATAAAGATGATTTCTGATAACAGAGGACAACTGCATATCTTATTAGGAGAAAGAAGTTCATTCTGAGTCTTATTGGATGATTAATGGTGAATCTGGACTCATTTCTTCATGGAATAAAGTCTTTTTAAAATGAAGACAGAAACAGAATTTTTTTAAAGATCTGAAAATTAAGGAAGAATAACAGGCAGTATAAAGATAAAAATTTTAACAAAAAGAAAAAAGATTAAAATGGTGAATGTTCACCTAACTTTCTTTCATAAGACACAGTACCATTTCTGAGGAAAAAAACCCCTTAAGTTCATAAGGAAATACAAACATACAAAAACCCACAAACAACCCAAAACAAAAAAGGTAGCTAATATTTGATTTCATACTATACGAGAGACTAACAGTAACAAAATCATCATGGTACCCACACAATAACAGACATGTAAACTAACAGAATAAAACAGAAAACCTAGAAATAAATTCACACAGCCACAGTCATCTGATTCCTAACAAAAGTACCAAAAAGGTACCAACAAATATACTGGGAAAAATGGATATCCACATGCAAAAGTTTAAAACTAGACTGCAATCTCTCATCCTGTACAAAACTCAAGTTAAAATGGATCAAAACCTTAATGTAAACCTGAATTTTTTAACTTTTATTTTATTGTAAAGTGCTATACAGAGGTCTTAGTTACATGAGTAAGGTACATTTCTTGCTGAACATTGTTACCCACTCAATTGTTGTTCTCCCACTATCCCTTCCTTCCTCCATGCCTCCCCACCACCCCCCCACAAGTTATAAAGTTCATTTCTGACAGTGTCATGTGAGTACCATTGTTGCAATGGTTCATCCTTTGTACTTCTTTCATCATTTTGTTATTTCCCTTCCTTCCCCAAATCAGATGGAGGGTACCAGGATCAAAACAGAGATTGCCAGGGATAAACCAATGGAAAAAGAAAAATGAAATACAATAAAAAGAAAGAACTAGATACAGTATATTGGTAACATCAAAGGCTGACATCTGAAAAAAAGTCCTGTTGTTTCCATGTCTTGGAGTTCATTTCAATTAGCATCATTTTGTATGGTCATATGTACATAGCTCTTGAGATATTATGATTCTCTGCTAGGACTATCCTAGACATATACTAATTATTACAAATGAGGGAAACCATAGAGCCTATGTTTCTTTGGGTCTGGCTTACTTCACTTAATATGATTTTTTTCCATGTCATTCCATTTACTTACAAAAGGGGTGATGTCATTCTTTCTGGTAGAAGCATAAAAATTCATTATATATATATATATATATATATATATATATATATATATCACATTTTCTTGATCCATTCATCTATCTGGGTTGGTTCCATATCTTAACTATGGTAAATAATGCTGCAATGAACATAATTGTGCTGGTAGCTTTAGTGTGGCCTATCTTAAGATCATTTGGATAAATGCCCAGGAGTGGGATTGCTGGGGAGATCTATGTTTAGTCTTTTGAGGAACCTCCATACTGCCTTCCAAAGTGTAAGCCTGAAATTTTAAAGCTAGTAGAGGAAAACACTGAGGGAGAACTTCAAGACTTAGTAATTTGCAATGCTTTTCAACTAGGACTTTTAATAGCTTGGAAATAATAACAAGAATTGAAAAATGGAATTGCATCGAATTAAAAAGGGTTTATACAACAAATAATTACCAAAATAAAAAGTCAGTCTACAGAATGAAGAAAGCCATGCAAGCTATTCAGCTGATATGGGATTAATATCTAGAATAAAGAGCTCAACAAATTAAATGCTAAAGAACAAGTAATTCATTCAATAAGTGTGAAAATAAATTGAACAACCATTTTCCAATGAAGAAGTACAGATGGCCAATAAATGAAATGAAAAAAATGTTCAATATCTTCAGCCAATAGGGAAATGCCAATTGAAACAGCAGTAAGATTCCATATCACCCCAATCAGAATGGCTATCATTGAGAAAACAAACAAGAAATACTGGCAAAGACGTGAGAAAAAGAATCTTCATACACTGTTGATGGCCATGTAAATTAGCCCAACCACAATGGAAATCACTAGAACTGCCAGGTGACCCAGCTATATCACTCGAGTATATACTTAACAGAATAAGTCAGCATACAATAGAGATACCCATAAACCCATTTATTATTTTTTATTGTGAAAATACCGTACAGAAGGGTTACAATTACATGGGCAAAATAATGAGTACATTTCTTATCAAGCATTGTTGCCTCCTCCTTTGTTTCTCCTTCCTATCCCTCCCCATCTCCCACCCACCCTCCCCCCCTTTCATCCCCCCCCCCAAAGTTGTAAAGTTTGTTTTTTGACATAACGACTTGTACATCTCATTGTTGCAATGGGTCCACCCAAATTCTATTTAGACGATTTGTTTTTGCCCTTCCCCTCCACAAATTATACCAACATCAAATACAGTGAAAGCAGGAGTTATACTATGGGGGAGGGACACACAAAGCAACAAAGAAATCATCTTATTAATATGTTAGAAACAATTGCATGAAAGAAAAAAAACATTTGAATACTTACCTTGGGTTTCATTTCACCTAACATCAACTTATCTGACCTTTTCTGCTTGTCTCAGACATATACTAGTTCTTGCAAATAAGGGAAACCATGAGACCTATGTTTCTTTGGGCCTGGCTTACTCCCATTTGTTAGGAAATGGAAAGACTTGTAAACCCATTTATTGTAGCACTATTCACAATATTCAAGTGACAAAATTAACCTAGGTACCCAGTAACAGATGAATGAAACGAAAATATGGCAAATATACACACTGATTGTCAATCGCTGGGAAATGGATGGGATTGCAAATCATCATGTTAAACAACATAAGCCAGACTCAGAAGGACAAATGTAGCATGTTTTCTCTTATAGATGGAATCCAAGATATGAAAGTACAAGGTGGACTTTTTGAGAAGAGGAATGGGATGGGAGGAAGGAGGAAACAAGAGAGGGAATAGGGGAGTGAGTACACCAAAGTTCATTATATACATTTATAATGTACCTTATTTTGTACAAGATTACTTTGTGCAATTAATGTATGCTAATAATAAATGTACGGCAAAAAGAAATAGCAACATTTCAACCAAATATGACAGAAAGTTATAGTATTAGATTGCCCTAAGCGTTGTTTACCCTTTCTTGCATTGTTCTTTCAGCCATGGGTATTTGAATGGATAAAATAAATGATGGCAATAAATGGGAAAGCCAAATCTTCTGGTAAATCCAAATAATATTGAGTATTAGTATTTCATAGTCAAAACATGGCTGCATTTACCTTTGATCACTGCTAC